TTGCTCTGGAATAGGAGATGGCTCTTCAAAAATTGGGTCAGACGCTTGACGAGAACAGCTTGAAGTGAAGCAAAAGGTTACATATTCAAGCAACCCAAGCATCTGCCTGCTTGCTCAGAAGAAGTCCTATGGCCATCAGTGGGACCTGTACACAAATAAGTGTGGATAGGCTTCTTTCTTGATTTCTTGTTAGCTGCTAAGTGGGAGCAATGATTTGTTTTCCTTGGTAAAATGATAATCCCCATTCCTTTACCTTAAAGCCCAACAGCAGCGTGGATAACCAATGAGTTTATTTTTCATTTTTCTTTAAGTACATATAAGAACCCAGGAACTCAAAAGGGAAAAGTTATAAGGTTTAAAGGGAGAAGGTTGTAAAATGTAGCATGTTTATAGCATGCATGGGGTACCTTTGACCAGAGGTTTGGGTCATAACTTCCTTTGTCCCCATGGAGTGTGACAAATAATAAAGGAGTATGGGAGCTGAAGTTCAGAATATCCTGAGGCCTAAAGGTATCCTACCTCTTTATATTGGTTAATATCAAAAAACTTTAGTAGAAATTGACAGCACAGCCCTTGGCATGATTACCAATAAGTAAGTTTGATTAAGTCCAATGGCACTTATTGTTTCAGGTAAGCAAGCATAGAATTTCAGTTTTGGGTGACTAATCCTGCTACAAAACAGCTGTGATCCAGCATACAAGAATTATATACTTGTAGCTGTACAAACAGTTTGCAGTAACTTACAGATAGCTTTCTTTGGTAACAGCTGGATAAAATGTATGGACTTCAACAGTGCACAGTTTGTGTTCATATTGTTGAGGTCTGTACTGGCAGATTATCCCTTATCCACAATTCTGAAATGTGAAATACTCCAGAATTATCCACATGCCTGGCTGAGACTGTAAAACCTTTGTTTTCTGATGGATCAATATTTCATGCAAAAATAAAAATAAAAATATTGTGTATAAAATTACCTGTATGCTATTTGTATAAGGTATACATGAAACATTAATACATTTCATGTTTAAACTTCGGTCCTATCTCGAAGATATATCCTTATATATATGCAGATATTCCAAAATCCAAAACACATCTGATCCCAAGCATTTTGGATAATGGATACTCAATCTGTACTGTGTGAATTTAATATCATATGTGAGCTGTAGTTTCTAGTGTTCTTTTCCTTTTGGAAGAAATCTATAGGATAGAAATCTGTTGTGAAACATTCCTCTCAGTATGAAATGTCTAGAATAGACTTTCAGATAAAGTACATAAATGTGAGACAACATGGATTAAGACATTGTATTGTATATAACACAAATATAGAAATTTAATACTCTTGTAAGCAAATATTATCACATGTATTTTCTGTTTGTATTGGAAACCCCACTTATGCCACCCTCTGGAAGGCATGGTAACTAACTTACAAGCTATTTGAATAAAGTATATATCTTTGAAAATACTTAAAATACTAAAATGTCATTATGTCTGAATTTTTTTTAAGTAGGAATCGTTGTACATTATAAATCTCTCGCTTTTTTGCAAAAGGTTGAATATTTTCCAATATAGCTTATCTTATCTGTTTTATCTATTTTCAAATTGTACATATTCCTTAGTAAATATCATTCACGTGTGTGTGTCTTTTAGCTCACATTTGACAGTGGACCGTTGCAACGGAACAATACAATGTACGATGAAACTCATGAATTTGTTTGTGACTCATTGCATGAGCCCTTTCTTGCAATGCATTTACTTTCTTTATTGGAAATGGCTCCTAGGAGAACTATGAATGGGTAATATAGCAGCGATAGAATAAATGCTAGTGGAGCTTGTCACTTGTTGCTTTGTCTCTAGATATTTCCCATGCCCTGCAAAACAGTTGGGCCACAGGCAGTGGGAGATCTATGCTACCTGCATGACTGCATTGCTCCAGTGCTTAGCTGTAGATAGTATATAACCTTGTAGAAGCCATTGTGACAACCCACTGAGGTAGGGATCAGTTTAAAGCAGGAGTAAGGAATAGCCTGTGCTCCAGATGCTATTGAACTGCCACTCCTATCAGCACTAGCCAGCACAGTTAAGAAACCACACAAAATATTGGAGCATTTCTATAAGCCAGGACTTACAGCAGGCATGGGCAACTGTGAACTTCTCATGTTCCAGCAGTATCTTAACAATTGCTATGCTGGATAGGACATTGGAAGTTGTAGGCCAAAATCATCAAGAGAGCCACAAGAACCTTGAACACTGACACATATGAAAATGGTGGGGTCCATTGAGTGAAGTGAGCTTTTGCATGACTTTGCTCCTCCAGTATCTATTCCATGGCACAAAGAACTGTGATAGGACAATAACAGCCTAGTGAAAAAGTCTTCTGTCGAGACATTTGAAGGTTGGGATCGTTTATTGAGATCTGTTGTGGTGCAAAGGTTCAGTAGCTAAGTAGCAGTTAGAACAGTGGGAATTATGGGAAAAAGTAGATTTTTGCTCCTTTCTGGCAGCTCTTTTCTACTTTATTGAATTTTAAATGGATTGTTAGCTGCCTTGGAAATTTGAGTAGGCAGGTTATAAATACTTCCCCCAAATTCATATGTCCTGTAGGTGAAAACAGATCACCTTATACATTTGTTTACCATTCAGAAGTCTTTAATTTTTTTAAAAAAGCCTGCTTTGAAGCCAGCAAAAGAAATTTGTCACTGTTGTACATAACCTTCTGGCATTGCAGTTTCATATAGGATATAGTTATTGACATAAAATTGTTGGAGGAAGAAGTGTTGTTAAAGTGACACCACTGAACATGGAAAGAATCCTTCCTGTATTTCAGATATATTTAAATGAAGAATACTTTAGTTAGTGATATATGTAGTTTAATTCTCATGTAAAGTTGTTGTAGTCTATGGTACTGCACCGATGGAGTGGCTGGTACATGCTATTGGAATTGCATACTTGCACAGCAGTTTTCAGATTTGTGTTGAAAGGCTGTAGTGCTCCAATCACATTCCAAAACAACCTGGTTGTCATTAATATGACTTCCAGATTTCTCCACACAGGAGCAATCAGTCTGTGTTAGAGTTTAAAGTTCGAATAAGTAAACTTGAACTAGTATGTGATTTGCACATTTGTCTAAAGTTGTTTCTGATCATTTGTATCTCTTAAAATGTGCTGATATTATTCTGATTATACTGGTGGTGAGCTGATGAGATTGAAAAATCTGTGATGGACGCGGGGAACTGCACAGTTGCTACTATGAAGAAATTTAAGAACCCCTCTAACTAATCATTTGAATAATAATTAAATCATTGGTGGAGAACATTTTTTATACCAAGAACTAAATACCAATTTTGGAAGAGTCTTGGGGTCATATTCCAGCCAAGGCTAAGGATACAGTAAATAGGGCCAAAGGAAATTGACAAGGGAAATGTAAGTCTTGCCAATTTGGACACTGTCTTACTAAACATAACAAAACATAATTAAGTTATGTGAATATCTGTTCAGGACTAAGATGTAGTACAACAGAGAGTAGTATATGGGTAGTAGGCTCATGTGAGACTGGTCAAAATATTGCAGACTAGTAAACATTTTTTCAAAGACTGCTAATGAACAACATGAAATAGTAGATTTCATTTGCTTGTTTGATTTTGTATTTATATTACAAATTTATATGTTGCTTAACAGGATTTTATCAAATCAGTATAGAAAAGATGATACATACAGTCAACCCTCTGGGTACACGGATTCTTTATCCACTGATTCCATCACCCACGGCTTGAAAATATTTCCCCCAAATTCCAAAAAGCAAACCTTGATTTTGCCATTTTATATAAGGGACACCATTTCTCTGTGTCATTGTATTTAATGAGACTTGAGCATCCATGGGTTTTGATATACATGAAAGGCCCTGGAATCAAACCCCAGAAATTACAAGGGCCCACTGTGTGTGTAATTTCAGTAATTTAGAACATCAGTTTATAACTTTCTAAAAGAGTAACCAGTGACACATTTGATCGATGAAAATAATCTGTAAAAAACTTAGTAGAGAAAACAAATTTGGAATTCACCTGAAGTTTACACTTGTTAGGGCATGCCTGAATCCTAGGAGCAATGTATGGAGGGATAGAAAGTTGGAGAGCTGCATAGTGCCAAGGGAACCCTGAAATGTCTTCCTGAATAGATATTCTTTTTCAATTTTGGTCCCATTTCCTTTTGAAGAAAAGGAAACTGAGTGTAAAATGACCCAAGAGGGCCCAAAATGAGTCAGACACCTCTGGTAGATATTAGGGGAGGGTTTTGGGGCAAAAAATAAAATAAAATTGAAATGAAGATGTGCTTGGGGGAGAAAACTGACCTTGGGGCCCAGATGTAAGCTACAGGCCAGGCTTTCCCCACTCATTATGTGGGGTATTACAGTTGCATATTCTCTTCTTATTTTAGCTAAGGCAAGATATGAGTAAAGATGAAGCAAAGATATTAGGACTCCCCCCTTCCCTGCACCCATAGTGTGTAATTTTGATGCTCTGTAGTTTTCTATGCCAGCAGAGGCAGGAGGTATTAGACCCCTCAGTAAATGGAGAAAGGCTATTCTCAGATCACTATTTCAATATATAGCCTGGCTCCAATGAGCACTGATGTTTGGTCAGGAACACAGGTAAAATTAGAGCGTAGCTATAGCTTATAGAATCCCCCAGCCAGCAGAACTACTTTTCTAAGTTTGTGGAGTAAAATAGGACAAAAGTTACTAAAATAGATTTTAGTATGATTTTCTAGATCAGAGATAGGCAACCTTTTTGAGCTGGGGGCCGGGTTGCTGTCCCTCAGACAATTGGGGGGCTGAAGCACCAATAAATAAATAAATAAATAAATAAATTTAATTTATTTAAAAAAAATTAAAATATGCATGCACACTCTCTCAGCCCCAGAAAATATCAGTCTGTCTCTATCATATCTTCAGGGATCTAAGAAAAAATGTGGTCAAATAAAACATAAAGGTAAAATTATTAAGAGCCAGTGTGGTGTAGTGGTCTGAGCATGGGACTATGACTCTGGTGTCCAGGGTTTGAATTCCTGCTCAGCTATGGAAACTCACTGGGTGACCTTGGGGAAGTCACATTCTCTCAGCCTCAAAGAAAGTCAAAAGCAAAGCCCCTCTGAACAAATCTTGCCAAGAAAACCCTGTGGTAGGGTCCTCATAAGTCAGAAATGATTTGAAAACACAGCAACAAGAACAAAAGGATTTTAGGTATGAATCATATTTCCTTTTCTTTACAATTGTGTCTGGAGTTGGGGTGGAGAGATAGAGATCTTTTACAAAAAAAGGGAAAAAAAGATTGCATTGCAGAATTAAAATTCTTTTGTGGAACTCTTAAACTTGTCAGATGATTCATTACTGAGTCACAATGTGCAAGAAAGTTTCTAATGACATTGTTGTGTCTCCTTCACTGGCATCTTCAGAAATCTGACAGCAAAGTGTCATGTTTTACATATTGTTTGCATTTCCATGTCTGTAATCTCCATGACTATCTAGAAAACTCATCTGATCTAGAAACAGACATCTTCCTCATCTTCTGTGCATTATTCACATATGTCAGATGATAGACTCCAGACTAAAAGCGATTTTATTAGTACCACCTGAAAATGATCCAAGTCTTGATCATAGATACATGCACCCTGAGATGCTTGAGGTAAATAACCATGTTTGTTCTGTCTGTATGATATAGATAATGATGCATTATCTTTTGCTGCCAGCTCAAAAAACATCTTCACATGCAGTTATTTAAGGATGGGGAGGGGAAATGATGAAAAATCCATTCTTCTGTTAAAGCTTGAATTGCAAATGCAGTCCAGACATGAGAGTGCTTCAAAGGCACAAGATTTGATGGAATGAATAGGAAGCATCTATATGGAGGATTTTGTTTTTTTAAAGGGTATTTTCACCTACATTCATTTGATTGCCTGCATTATTCAAGTCTGAGGAAACACATATACATTTAGTGAATGTGTCCCAGGTAATTCTGCAGGATGAATCTGGAAACCACTGTACTAGCTGAACATTTTGGAAATAAGTTATTTAATCTCATTTTGATTTAGTAATTGGTTAAACAATGTGAAAATCATATTTTACATTTGAAGAGAAATTCAGATGTAGCAACTACAGCAATACATCATTTTTCTGCATATAGCTTATATTAATGCATTTTGAGATTGCTTGCATCCCTCTGTTGGAGCGCATGTTGAAACTAAAAATGCATACTTAAGGATAGAAAAAAAATCTACTGATAATAAGTCAATATAAATGTAATTGAAGAAGCATGACTCAGTTTATTTACGCCACTTCTAAAATTCAACATAAACATACTACACTAGATATCAAATCTAAATACAGGGAAATTATATTATGACAACATGATAAGTGTCATCTGCCTGACAAGGAAAACTGAAATGCTTTACTGTTTTCATTATGAGCAAGTGGGAAAAACAGTTTTATATATAAAAAAAGAAGAAGTGGGGAGCCTCCAAAAGAGAAATACATTATTTTCTAAGAAGAGATTAGTTTACCTTAGAGCCTAAAATGTTACAAGATATAGTAGCATGTACTTGCACACATGCATCTTCCTCCACAACCCTGGCACTCTGAATACATTGTGTAAAGTGGACTTTAAGTTGGGTATGTTCCAGAGACCCTTAAAACAAAAACAATCACAAAATGTTATTTTTAAAAATTTGGTAAGCTTCCAGGAATATTGGTTTTGCTCCAAATGATGTGCATTGTCCCCCAAATCTCTACTTCCTAGAAGCCAAAAAAAAGAAGGGGGGGAGAAAAATGTCCTGTCCCAAAACAAACTTTCAGCTTGTTTGTTTTGCATTCCTGATTCATGTTTATGCTGATACCTGTGTAACAGGAAAGGTAATGGATTAGGACAATATCACACTGTATTGTTATAGTGCTATTTTACTTTTACTGCTATGGCTGCTTCCTATGGAATCCTGGGATATGCAGTTTGAGGAAGGGCATTTAGAATTCTCAGCCAGAGAGCTCTTAGGCCTCACTAAACTGCAGACCTCAAAATGCCTCAGGAGGTAGCCATAGCAGTAAAAGTGGAATAATAGTACTGTAACTGTGCTGTGATATTGACTGAGGGATTGATATCAGCCCTAACCATCACAGCCAATGCTGAGAGATGGTGGGAGTTCGAGGGGGCATCTGCATTGTAGAACTAATGTAGTTGGACACAACTTTAACTGCCATGGCGCCATCCTTGGGATTTGTAGTTTTGTGAGGCACCAGCACTCTTTGGCAGAGAAGGCTGAAGACCTTGTAAAACTACAACTCTCAGGATTGTATAGGACGGAGCTACTGCACTTAAAGTGGTGTCAAACTGTATTGTTGGTACAATATAAATGCACCTCAGGTCTAACAACACCTGGAGGGCCACAAATTTCTCATCCTTGCTTTAGGTTAGCATCCCAGATGATCTACATCAAGATAAAAGCAGTTCTCTCAAAAGTGTGGATGTGATGAATAAATATACTATTTCTTACACGTAAGTCTCTTTTCTTCTTTAAGACACACATTAATATATATATTAATATATACCAGATCATCTCCTATACAGTGACTAGCTAACTGTAGATCTTCTTGTCTTCTTCTTGTTGTTTTAAAGCAAGATTACTGTAGCATGTATATACAGACAATGAAGCATAGGGATACACTTTAGGAAGCCATGATTAGCCTTGGTTTCCTGCTGGTTGTACATTTAGTTGGAAATTCAGATTTACTTACATATAATAGGTGAAAGAGCCTTGCCAGGAAAATTACCAGCTAGCGTAATTTTTCTATGGGTGTCTTGATTTTAAAAGAGCTCTTATGCAGCTCTTGTTGTCTACATACCCTTTGCATAAAAGTAATGCCACTATTGCTAGTTTTGTTATTATAAATGGGGAGGGGGGGAAATCAAGTATGTTATTACAAATGGGGAGGGGGGAATCAAGTATGTTATTATAAACGGGGAGGGGGGAAATCAAGGTAAATAAGCTTTCAGCAATTTTGTTAGCTTCAAACGATGTGCATCAAATTTCCCTGAAAGTAGATTGGTTGAGAAGAAAATTTGGTTATCACTCTCATCAACAACATTTGGAAGGCCACTGATTGTCCACCCCTGTAACAGTTGTACAGATGTCTGCCATCTTCAAACATGCTGACAGTCACATGGATTGGAAGGCTTATATATAAAGAAACTAGGATGTAATTTTCCTTTCCCTTACTTTGGATGAGGAGTTCTCCTATATCCTTGCTTTTAAATCTAGTATTGTGCTAGTCCACTATACTTGAGCTTTTCCTGAATCTGGTTCTTAAGACTTGGATACTGTTTCAGTCCTTTGAGGTAATGCCTTTGGCTCAAGATTCAGAAACAGAAAGGATACTGGCATACTTCAGTTAGCAAAACCTCTGACAAAGAAACTCCCTTTTATAAAGTCTTTTAAAGGGTGCCCTGCCCACCCCCTTTACTAGTCTTCTAATTAGCTGGAGAGTTGGGGATAGACACGCACACACACACATTTTGCAGCATGGATATTAGGAGGATAGTGAAGACAGATTTTTAGTGTTGAGTTGCAAATACAATTGCCTCTCCATTTTTGCAGACTTCAAGTCCACGTCCCTAGCCCATTTGCAGGTGGGAAACAGAGGGAGATAAAATGGGGTGCCTGTGGGCGCCCCCCTTTCAAGCCTATGGGGCTTGAATATTTTCAGTTTTCCACTTTCGTGGGGTGGGAGTGGGTGGGTGGCGGCTCCGGAACAGCTCCCACATGAAAACGGAGGGGCAGCTGTAATAGAATGAAGTTTGACCTGTGAATGAATGGGATTCTACTCTAGGTGATCCTACTGTTGCTGTGTGAGCTTATGTACAACAGGCAAGTTACCTCCAGATTCACTTAACAGAGCACGTACGAAGAGCAAAATAGAAAGATAAAAGAGGAAAACAGATTAGCCTGCCACACTAGCTCCCCTGGCATGTTGGAAAAGGATAGATCTATAAGTTTCATCGCCAAAATGGAAATTGTGAGAAAAGTAAAAGTTCTTGAAAGAAAAAGCCATCATAGGATGCATTTTGCAAGAGATGTTAAGGTTCAAATGTTTCAGTTACTCTTGCAATGCTTCCCTAACCTGGTTATTTCACTTCACATGTACATAATGTTAGTTTTGAAGAAAATGTTTGCTGAAATGTACTTTTATTCTTTTTTGTTTGTGTAAGAACCTATTCCCAAGTTACTTCAACTTCTAGTCCCAAAAATTCTGTTGAAGAAATAATGTTCTGGAACAGATCTACTCTGATAACTGAGGTATACCTGTATGTAAAGGGATCTTGTAGCACCTTTGATATTAACTCTTCTAAAGAAGGTTTCATAGATAGGTATACGAAAGCTTATACTATAACTTCTTTCACACAGTTATGAGACTCTTAAACTGAGGCGAACTTGTAGTTTAGGAAGAGGCATTTAGAATACTCAGTCAGAGAGTCTTTAAGCCCCATGGAACTACAATCCTCCCCCAATGCAACAGAAGGCAGTCAGAGCTCTTAAAGTGAACTAGCCCTGTTTTAAAAGTGTGGTGTGATGATCTCGTAGGTTTTAAGGATGCTACATGATGCCTTTGCAAACTGATATTCCAGCTTAACATGGCTCTGTCTCTGAATTCTACCCCTCTGAGGTATACCTGTATTTCATTTTTCTTTTGTGGTGATATTAAATGGTTTTCTGTACCGTGTGGGGAGATGCACTGAAAATTAAATTTGAAGTATTTTAAACAGTTTAAGCACTAGCTTAAACAAAGGACAAGGCCAGTCACCTGTGTGTTCAACTTTTGAGATACTTAGGTCCAAAACACACTGCAGAAATAATCCACTTTGAGACCGCTTTAACTGCCCTGACTCAGTGCTAGGGAATCCTGGGAATTACAATTTATTGTGGCACCAGAGCTCTCTGACAGAGAAGGCTAAATGTCTCACAAAATTACAGTTACCAGAAACCCCTAGCATTGAGCCAGGACAGTTAAAGCCGTTTCAAACTGGATATTTCT